CCAGAAATAGTTATGACACCGGGGTCATGGTTTTGAATGAGAGACAGATAGAAAAAGACAGAGAGATCTGATACTTACCTTTTATACGCACTACGTTGACTGATGGATATCCAGGACAGAAATAAAATCATTGTTGTGCAGTGGACATCTAAAAGGAGAGCCAACCACGTTAGAGAAATAAGAAAAACCACATACCTTTTGTAGATCTTTGTTGTAGAAATTCTTCAAATGGCCGGACGTGTACGAGAGATAACCTAAGACCGTGGCAATGTTAGACGGGCTGACTGCTAATAGTAAAACTGAATATGCCTGTTTGGTTTGATAAAACAATCTTGAGATGATCTCAATATTGGGTGTGTAGAGGCTACTGTACATTTGGATAGACACCCAATCATTGTCAGCCTCTGCAGCCTACAATTACCCATAATAACCACCTTCTGTGTGGATTTGCGAAGACATTTACATGCAGTGTTGGAGAAGCTACTTATAAAGCATGGCTTTGCATATACCAGTACTGTACTGTAGTACATCACACCAGAAAAAACAACTACAACAGTTACTCTACTGAGAAATCTAGTTTTGTTATATAAAGCTACTTAGTAGTAGTAGTAGTTCAAACTACTTGGTTAAAAAAAGTTTAAATTGACAATGTACATGATTCAAAATTACAGTATAACAAAACAGAATACAAATGCCACTCAGTCGAGTTTATTACCTGAGACCTAAACCTGTCCTAAATAAAACAATCCCATCTGGGCTTTTTACCTCTGGACAGAGCCAGACCACCTGCAGACCTGAGAGTAGGGTCAATTTTGTCATCCAGTCTAAGCAAGAAAGCAAATTATTGGCCTTCTCTTACATGACACCACATATTATGAATCAGTCCAACAAGTAATGGAAAGTGCTCATTTCCAGTTCCACTGAAAAGTATGCAGTTAACACATTTATTATTATTTCTATGAGGCACCAATGAAAACATGTTTGTGTCTGTTTATTCTGATTATGCAGGAGTGAAAAAACATGAGTATACTGTCCAATTGTTTCCATAAGGGAAGATTGTGTGCAGCTTTATGGTTGTGTAATGGGCTTGTAAACTGCATCAGAACATCCATCAGCTATAGGCATCACCACCTAGGAAAAGAGGAATAATAAAACAGATGTTAAATAAATTTTTCAAAATTGCATCTAGGTTACCGAGTTAGAAAAGTCATTACAGGCCCAACTTGAGCAGCAGTTCAGAGATGTGTGTGTGTGTGGAGATCTTTTCTCTGTGCAATGATGAAGTGATTAAATCTATTACCAACTGACTAATGACTGGCCTTATTTCATTTTTATGCCACTCAAACGGAGCTCAACACATTAACTCCCAGGGTAGCTCTGTTCAACTGGAGAAACCTTAAATGGGTCGCACCTGCTCAACCTGAATGTGGTGCTGCAAGCAAGGCAGAGAAGGAAAGCGAGACTGATACAGGGAGTTCAAAAAAGCCACTGGAAGCGTTTAGCAAGTGCACAGCATTCACACACATCGGCAGAACTGTCAAGGGTCAACCTCGCCTACACTTACACGTTTTAAATGGCCACTAATTGTAATGGATGACATGGAATCCATCAATCATGTACAGACTTAAAGGGTTTTACCTGCACTTTCCAACAAAATGCCATATGAAATCAAAACAGCAGAATGTACTTAAGTGTTTTTAACCGTTTTTGACCAATAATACTAAATAATTAATTAGAAAGAGAGCAGGGTAAAGAGGTAAATCTGAAGATGAAGACAAGCTCCTGCCGCATTGTCTTTTATATATAGTATCTTTAAAGAATAATAGAAGAGCACAGTGTACATAGTACAGTGATTCAAAACCTTAAGAATTATTCTCTTCAATGTGTTATGGGGAACAATTCTGACCTGGACCTGTGAGTGTGACAAAAAAGGCAAAAGTGAGGAGTGTGAGGTAAATATTGTGTTTAATAAACAAACATCAGTCAGGGAACTGACATTAGTCTGGGGATGGAGGAGGGGGAGGGATATAAAGCACAATGCACATGTGTAGAGGTGGGTGGGTCATAATTATCTGTTACACAAGGTGCCCCTGTACAGTAGGAGCAGGAAGTTCTATATAACATACAGATCTGGATCCAAGTCTACGGTACAAAAACTTAGCAGCAACATGTTAACGTCGGAAACCAAGGGGCTAACAAAGTAGTTTCATTTAGAAAAAGTCACAGTATTCTTTAAGCATAAATTTGTTAAAAAGATAAAAACAGTTCTAAGCATCCTCTAGGGTCAATACTACTCACAAGATCTGTTTGTGAAATACATAGGTAGGGAAATTATTTATACATTTATACTCTAATATAAAGACCTTCTGGTAATGGCACAGTACAAACTCTCAGGAAACGCGACAAAAATATACAATGTCTTCATGTCACATTTGCAGATTAAAATGTAACTAAGGTCTCTGGCAAGCACAATAGTTTCAGTGATCAAAAAACAACTTCTCTTCAACCAAAATAAAGGACACCATTTTGTTAGTTCAGCTATCTTGACAGACTATGTCGTTTTAATACAAAAATAAGGACAAATATAAATTAATATATATTAAAAGTATCAGATTGATACATGGGGGATCTAATGAATAAGTACAGGTATTTATGATACAATAAATACTTGTCATTCATGACTTGGGGTGGATAAACAGAAAGAAGTGTATTTAACCTGACAGGTAATATGCAACTCTTCTACAGGTGAGAGCCTTTGTATGTTTGTGTGTTTGTGTGTTGTTCAGTAGCTGTATAAAGTACCACAAGCTTGAGCACGGCTGTGCATGGGATCGGCTTCACAGTCTCATAAGGCTCAGGAGGTCTGAGAAAGGAGGCCGCAGACTACAGAGGTGGTGTCTTGTGTTGTATGGGGCTATCACTGCCCACCCTCTCCTTAATGCAGCCCCTCCTAGTGGTGAGTCCGTGGTATGACCAGTTAAAGTTACTCCTAAAACACACAACTCACTGACAGGAAGCATGAAGTCTACAGAAAGCGGTCAGTGACCGGTCAGTCCTCCAGGGAAGAAGAGACAGTGCAGCACACACACAATTGGAGTCATCATAACCGATGAAAAGAAGAAGATGTAAGGAAAAAGTCAACTCTTTTTTTTTTGGCTTTTTCTTCACTTCATAATAAAAAATAAGTCTGTTTTTTGTACTTTACAATAAAATTCAACATTCCCACCAAGGAAGCATCAATGATCAGTCCAGCACTGGCAAGAAAAGAAATTCTTTTTTTTTTTTTGACTATTTTCAGGGTTTTTAAAAAAGAGTGTTGGTGGGGGTAGGACGGTGGAGGGTGGAGGGTTTTCTCAAGAGGAGCTGGGACCTTGGACAACAAAAGGGACGAGGGTCAAGTAAGGCAGGAACACAGAACACATCTGGAGAGGGGGAAAATCTGCCGAAAGTTTTGTCTTTCTCTCTTTTTTTTTTTCTTTTTTATGAGGAACACTTTGTACAGCCACACTTGACCACTTTCTCCACTTCCTGGACAAAAGAAGAGCCGTCAGTGCACTGAAAGGTGTATTTCCGGCGTTTGCTGCGGAGGGGGGTGCAACAGGTCCCCTGTCCTTCTGTCCCCCCTGTGCAGCTACCTCGACACTCTAGACGGGAGACCTTTTCCTGGGTTTGGCACGCCGCGTAGCCTTGCTGTCTTTGGTAGACATCTCGGACCCGTTCCCCTCGGCAGGCCACCTCTGCAGGGATGAACCAACAGAAAGATTACAAATCATGAATGATGTTAACGATACTCTGAAGGGACAAGGTCATGATGACAAAATTGATCGTGAGGGTGAGAACATTATGGTAACTCAAGGCATTAGTGGACCATAGAAAGATCAGGAAGAGGACAGGGACACATAGCCCCATTTGGGAGTGCCTCCTTTTCTTAATGTGAGACAGGCCCATATGGTTTCATATAAAACCTGCACTGGAGATGGGAAAGGTAACCAGATGTACATTTGCCAAACCAACCTGTTGGGTCTCAAGACTAATCAATTGGCTTTAGCAAAATGTATGCTCCATACAATGAAACAGTCCCAAATGGGGATAAGGGACATCATGATTGATGACACAATACATAAATCTTTCTTCACAAACAAGTGAACTATTGGGTAATAGAGAAAAGTTATCTCGTACAGAAAATTGTTTTTATTTATTATTTTTATTGGTACAAATGAAATTCTGACCTGTTTCTTTTCAGATTTAGCTTAAAAACAAATTGAATATGTTACTAATAAAAATCTTGAGCGATTACCTTTAGTCTAATGTAAACGGTAATGTAAGTTCAATTAAAAACAGGTATTCTAAAATAAAATATTGTGACTTCCTTGACTTGCCATTTTTACAACACATAATTTTAAATAAATAAATAAAACCACTCAAGCAACATGTTGCTGATGAGAAAATGAGGTGAAGCAGAGGCAATGGGTAGAGCTATTTAGTTCTGCGTTGGAGAGGAACAAGAATAAAATCAGAACAAAAAAGGCTAACAGTAAAATGTGTCTGGGCAGTCTCACCTGAGTAACCTCCCATGTGGGATTAAGAGGAAGCTCGGGAGAGGCTGAGTTGAAAAAGCAACGAGTTAGAAGTGTTAATGCAGAGACAGTAGACACTGTTAGACATGCACACGAAGGTGAGAAACTTCAAATGAGATATTAAAGGAAAAACAGAAACTAAGAGGAGTTTCTCTTAAGATAAACATGCTCTAAATTCAAAAGCGTGAACAACATTACAAATTATTTTTAGAGGAATGTGAGAAGTAAGAGGTAATTTCCACATGCAGACACACCCAACATATACTCTCCAAACATGCATCCATGTTTTCCTCACCTCTGTCGCATGCCTCTCCTGTATATCCACTGTTACACTCGCAGTATGCCTTGCCCAGGCCCGACACTCTGCATTTGCCATGTTTACAGTGAGACAGGCTACAAGGGTTAGCTTCATCCTGGTCCTGCTCATCACAGAGGACGCCAGCAAACCCAGGCTGGCAGCGACAGGAGTAAGAGTAGGAGTTGATTGGCAGGCAGGTACCATGGATGCACCTGTAGGGTGGCGGGATAAGATAAAGATATACAAATCCATATAGCGATTCAAAGCCTGGAGATTACACATAGCACTAAAGCCACTCACTTGTTGCCATCACAGGGGTTGCTGACTTGCTGGTCACACAGTGTTCCTGTCCAGCCCGGGTGGCAGGTGCAGGTGAAGCCACGATGCCCTGTTGGGTGGCAGTCACCCTGGATGCAGGGCCTGGCAGGGCGGGCAGCCTGGTTCTACCCCTTGGCCCAGCCACTGTCTGGTGGTGCTCTGTGCCATCTCAGAGCCTGGAGCCCCTGGCTTCAGCCCAGCCCCGAGGTCCTGGAGCTTCCCATTGATGTACAGATTACGGAGGCAGCCATGAAAGCTGGTGCCATTGCGTCCACCTGAGCTGTGTTGCAGGGCTGACAGACCCCCAGAGGCTGAGGCACGCTCTGGCATCCCTGGAGGAAAAAACAAGTAATTAGAGATAAGAGTATCATTAATACAAAGACACATTATCTAAATACATACAAATAACACACATAGTAAATTAATATAAAATCTTTATATAAAATATAACAGGCTTTGTGCAATACTGCAATGTCAGATAACAAAAGAACAAAGTGAGAGGACAGATAAACCAGATGTACTAGTTCTGTTGATGCCAAGATAAATGTCTATTTATGATGACTGTGACATCTCTTTCCTCTGGCACCATTGAGGAGTTTTAGCCAGGGAACAGCTAAAATCTCTGTGCCAAAGGCTCAGTCATGATCCTTAAGGGACACACAGTAAGACATGTCATACTAAACCACTAAACAATATTTTCTTGGGTACTCCACTAAGACAGTAATCAAGACACTGATAAAAGTTTAGTTCCTTTGTGCCCTTCTATGAGAAAAATGGCAAACTTGTAAACTGATGAAAGGTACTGTTATTTCTAGTGAGTTTTGAGTTTCAAATCAGGATCAAAATGCACATCAAGGTTTTGTCACATACAATACACACACAAAGTGCTCAGGTTCTTACCTCCAAGGTAAAGTGGAGAGTCGATATTGAGTGTGGACTGCTTGCTGATGGAGTTGATGGACTTGGGAGGACCGCCATCAATGGACAGAGACAGAGTCTGGTCTGATGCTACCAACTCCACAGCATGGAAGCTGCCATCATTCACTGTCTCCACACTGAGAGAGAGAGAAGTGAGAGACTCTTTCTAAACATTTTGATCATCCATTACATGAATGTGGCATCAGTTCGTGGATTGTTGTTTTCTGTTTGTAAGTGAGTGTACCTGTATATCGCAGAAGGAGGGTAGGATCCAGTATCATAGCTGACCCTGAGGCGTCCCCTGTACAGCTCCATGGCAATGTGATCATTGTCTCCTTTATACAATAACACACCACTGTCCTCATCTGTAGCAATCTGAAAACACAGCAGGGTGTCCATGTAAATGGTGCTCCATACAGTGGAGAAAATGATTAATTATTCAGATCCAGGTGTACTGAGATTTACAGCTGTACCTATTACACAGTATAATCAGCAAAATGTACTTTAACCTGCAATTACCTTTCTGGACCACTTGGGGGCAGCAGAAATTAACTGTAAACAAACAGTTGCTTTAAAAAAAAATCATTCACTCTTTTAGCTGTGTTTTTGGTCTCTACTAGCCACAGTTTGTGCCTCTCATGTTTAGCATACATAAGAGAGATAAATATTATCTAACCAATGAAACTGATTTGTGTTAATCTCTATGACCCAAAATACAGTATATATATATGCTAATACCAGAGAGACACATACCAGGACTAGGCCTCTACCAGCTCCTGAGGGAAATATCTGGTTCTTTAGCTGCTAAAATGCTTCACTACTGTATGCTCACCAGCAGCAATTCTCTGTAGGTTTATCATGGAGAGCAATGCCTTTGGCATTTTCACAGTCACTTGATTTTCTTATGATAAAAATACTGACTATAGCTGCATGTTGAGCAGAAACATGGGCACTAATCTATGCATTACATTGATAGATATGTAATACTGGCAGAATTTTAGTGCTATGGTGGGTCTAGTTTAGAATACTTCATATGAAGTTACAGTAGGTAGTTGAATACAGCGGTTCCCAACCCACGGGCCAGGCCCCTCCAAAGGATCACATGAAAGGTTGTGAGATGATTAATGGGCACAAAAAGAAAAAAGTTCTGCCACACAAATGTTTATACATTTTTAAACTTTTCTTTCTCTCCTCACATTGTTTGTGAAATTTTGGGTAACTTAACCAGAACTCAAACTTGCACTTAATCGGAGTCCATGAAGTTTTCACCTGTAGACTGATGTTTGTCTGTGATGACAGGAGACTGGAGGGAAACTGCAGGTAGGACTCGCGGTTGACAAAGTTGACACTGACAAGTGTCTCACAGCGGTCACCCTCGTAGCCATGGAGACACTGGCAGCGGGGGTCCGTTCCCACAACAACACACTGTGCCCCATTCAGGCACTCGTGGTTGTCACAGGGACTGGTGCGGGGAAGGACCATCGGGGGAGAGAACTCACAGAATAACCCACTGGACACATATAATCACACACACACAAACACACACATGCACACACTGATTATAGTAATTATACCTGAAATTCTGTTCTTTTAATTATAAGTTTGATGTGATACATTAAGCACAAGGTGCAGCAATACTCCAATTTACTGCAGGGAACACCAAAGGATTCCTAATCATAGCTAAGAATGTCCTTAACAACCTTAACGGTTTCTAATAATTTCAGTATGCAATGTAAATGTACTTCTAGATAGTTAAAGGTCCATTAATAATGGTTTTAAACATTGTTAATTGTTAAATCAAGTGAAAATAAGACAGGACTTGGTGTCGCTCTGCTATACTAACCCCTTGCATGACTCTGCTGTCTCCAATGCTTTTTGTTGTTACTGCAGCTTTTCTAAATTGTGTTTATGTGTTGAGTCTTTAAAAAAGCCTACCACTTAGCCATGGTTATAAGAAGTGAGTAAAAACTTTGCTTTTAACTGGTTGTCTGTGTGAGTGCCAGTGTGTTGTTTTTATTTTTGCTTTTCATAATTGTATTACTGGAAAATTGCTGTACTGCAGGGAAAAAACTCTCTTATGTGGTATGTTCAAGTACAGTTGGACATCTGAGATTTTAGAGGTGACTGGCTTAAAGAAATCAAAAGCAACTTGGTTGGGATACAAAACCCTGAACATCTCAATGTGGAGGAAAATTTTTCAATAGTCTGTCCTCCCAAAATTGTGAAAGAGAACTTACACTAGTTACAGACAGTTGACAAATTAAAGGAAAAACCAACATAAAGTGTTGGGCCACCAGAGCAGCTTTGGTGCACTTTGGCATTGATTCTGAAAGTCTCAGAACTTCACTGAAGGGATGAACACTATTCTTCCAAAAGATATTCCCTCTTTTGTTTTGATGATGGTGGTAGAGACGCTGTCTAACACTGTCTAACAACACCTCCCACAGGTGTTCAACTGGGTTAAGATCTGGTGACTGTGAAGGCCATGTCATATGATTCACATCATATTCATACTCATCACACCACTCAGTGACCCCTTTTACCCTGTGGATGGAGGCATTGTCGTCCTGGGAGAGACCACTCATTAATTCCAGCTTTGCCTTTAATTTGTCACTTGTCTGTAGATAATAATGTGTTCACTGCAACAACAGACAATGAACACGAGGGAGCCCTCCAACACCACTCACTGTAAACACATACAAGCTTAGCATTATGTATGGGGGAGAAAAACATAAAATAAAAGAAAAAAAGACAAAAAAAAGCCAACTTTAATTTTTTGCCATAGCAGAGATGAAGGTCAAACAATTGATGACTTCAGTTTGGAAAACATCACTAACTTAAAACTAACGTAAAGACTATTTGAATCTATTAGGAATGCTAAAAAAACACACCAGAGGTGGTCAGTAATGCAACATTTGAATCTATTAGGAATGCTAAAAAAAAACACACCAGAGGTGGACAGTAATGCAACGAAATAAACACAATGCACTACACAACAGATATTGTTTGTCAAGGAAACAGTACTTTGATATGACCAGTATGTGTACGTTCCTGCTCTGATGTGTTCCCTCACCTGTATCCCTCTGGACAGACGCAGGTGTAGCCATTGACGGCATCAATGCACTGGCCTCCGTTCTGACACTTGCTCTCCTCACAGTCGTTATAGTCCAGCTCACAGTGCTCACCTACATAGCCTGGCGTGCACTCACACCTACACACATACAAACACACACATGTACAAACACAGAAATGTGTGTTGATACTAAACTTGGTTCTGCTGTCTGCTCCTTGCACACACAGATGTCTGTTGATTAGATTTGTTCTAATTGCTTGTGTTGAAGAAATTTTTGTATGGAAAACATACCAATTCTCTCTTGACCCAAACAGTTTAGAGGGTACAATTACTCCCCCCCCATCTCAATCTTAACTAGGTGCAAGAATACAGTGAATTGAAATAATTAAGGTGAATTTAATGGTGTAAAGACAGCTAGACATGTTTTTAAAGATGTCTGATGAAGAACACCGAGTTCCAGACATCTACTGCAAATGTTGATAAATTTACACAAACTTAACAACAGTGCACAAAGGCACATGCACACTATGCTGACTACAGCACTCATCACAGGGGAGTAAAACTAAAACAAAGTTCAGATAAAATCTGGACAGGAAACCTTAAAACAGAGCCAAAATCACACTCCCAACACTTTCCCAATAACACACATACAAACATATTGCTTATCTCTGCATGGAAAAATCAGCAGTTAGTTTATTTCAGTGTAAGAAAGTTAAGTACTCAAATCCTGGATGATAGAAAGAAGAAGACACTGTTCACTCCACCAACTTTACATATATGTGTGTTTACGTGCATGTGCCTGTAGAGTATGTTGCATGACTGTGTGTGTGTGTGTGTGTGTGTGCAGTCCACTCACTTGTATCCCTGAGGCGTCAAAATGCACTTTGAGCCGTGCTGACATGGGTTCAGCTCTGAAGCACAGAAATCCAGTTTCTCTTCACATAACTCCCCTAGAAACACACACATACACATGCGCGCGCACAAGCATGAACAATCATCGCAACACCTTTTCAGTACTTTGCATACAGTCAGTGATAAGTGAAATTATAGCATCTCAGTATTTTCCAGCTGCCTCACACTGTGTTTCTACTTTGACTCTTAGTATGACTGAGACTCAGTGTGTGTGTGCTCTTGTTTTTATGTGTTTGTGGGACCTGAAATCCAGGAGTTACTCGGGGTACTGACAGTCTACTTATAGGGCCTGGAGGCTGGGCATCACCAGTAGTTGGTCAAATTTTACAAAAATGGTGGGGTGTAAGGTTAGAGTAAGTGTTGGCTTTGGTTAAGGTTAGGGTAAGTCTCCTGAAAATGAATGTAAGTTTATGTGTGAACCCTGTAAATGATGGCCGCGAGTCTGTGTGTGTGTGTGCTGTGATGATGGATGACTCTCTTGGAGCCAGGACCAACACAGTGGTCTGATAAATGATCTAATCTCTGATGGTGATATTCCCGAGTGTTCCTGAACCTCTGAACGAATTATTGATGAGGCATCAGGGAATAAACCAATACTCCTGACAGTCTACTCTGGGAATAATCACATAAACACTTGGGGATCAATGAGGATGTGTGTTAAATGATGGGAGATGTGTATGCATGTTTGTGCTTTGGAGCTTTGAAGGAATCAGATTAATAAAGTTTTATTTGTAAATGGAAATTCTCATTCTTGGTCCTCGTTTATATGTCAGCTCTTTGTATAATGTGTCCATCCTATGTGCATAGTGTGATGAGCTAATAAAAAGGCATTACATCCATCAGATAGTTATGTTGCAGGCAGCAGACAGCACATTCTCTTCAGCTTGCATTCCTTGTTGTGGGACATCTAAATTCCATTTTTAAAAGAGAAGGATGGTGATATTTTTTATTTTTCTTGTCAGCAAACCAAAATGAAGAATCATTATAAGTTGTGTTTATGTAGTTATTGCCACAGTTTTCCAAAACTTCTACTAAAAGCATAGAACTGAGCCACACTCTTGCACTGGGTGACACGTTCCTTCATTACGATGAAGATGGACACTGTAGTTTATTCTGAATCAATCCCACTTACACCGTCTTGTTCCTGTAAATACTCAATAAAGCACCAAATCTATGGCTGAGAGTACTTCCCACCAACTGCATTATTTTCTCCTGTTTCAGAAACAAAAGGTTGTATTTGTGACCCATTTTAAAAAATATAGGTCCCTGGGGCTGAGTCCCACAGACAGGCTGGGGAAATTGGAAAGCAGTGAGAGATGGAAAACATATTTCTGGCTTTGGTCTTTTCATGGGAATTTTGGAAGATAGCAAAAATATTAAATTTCATCAGCCTTCTCCTTTAAAGTCCAAATGTTTACCTGGACTATTATGACACAGTTTACTTGGACTTTAGCATGGTAACAACATGTAAGCAAGCAAAATAAATAAAATAAACTCAGTGGTCTGTTTGAACATCAAGCATGTGCGCTGTTAACACAGAGCATGGCTGCATATAGTACAGTATGTGAAATCTGCCGTGCTGAATATGACATTTTTTGGCAACACAAGAAAAAGCACAGGAAATGAGGGAAGGAATGGAAGGCAGGAAGGAAGGAAGGAGGGAGGGAGGGAGGAACAGAGAGAAGAACAGACTAACCTCTCTCCACCTCATTGGTAGCAGCTGCAACCACATAAAAAACCCCCCGAAACAAAACAAAACAAAACAAAACAGACAATAGATGACAGAAAGCAGAGTGAGACATAAAGATAGAGAGAGAACACCACCACAGAGGTTAGCAGTCAGACATGATTAGCAACAGTGCAAAAGCGGACAAATGAGTAGCAGCAGACCAGTGTTAGTCAGAAAACACACGATTTGAGCGCAGTTCAATACTGTAAAAAGATTCTGCTTATCTATGTATGCGTGTCTCAGTGGAAACAATAGAGTTACAGAGTGAGAGGAGGTGCTTCTGGTGTCTTCATTTTTCTTATAGACAATGTTATGTGACTCACAGTTGGAACACTGCTGCAGCTTAGATCAACATTAAACTCATCAGTACAAAAAAAGACGCAACTGTGTTAAAAATACCTGGTTCTTTGAGAAAACCTTGAAGGTATGAGCCTGTGTATAATAAAACTTCAATGGAGACATTAATGGTGACTCCCACTGCGAGTTCTGGCAGGAGACATCCAATCACTGAACTAATCATTCTGGCAAGTGTAGCACTAACTGCAGGAGAAAGCTAAAGATCATAGTAATGAGGAAACTGAAAAACAATCTGCATCCACACTGCTGATAGATGTTGTATTTATATGTCAGGGTCAAAGGTGAATGTGACGTCACCTTGTGGTTTACCAAAGCTTTTATTTCACAGATGTGTGAGGGACCAAGTAAACAGAATTACACAAGGTCTTCATGAAACCAAAAAATAACTTCTGTGGCTACAAACATTATAAATGAGAAGAGGACCAACAGAGAGTGAAACAAAAAGAACATGTAATTTACTCACTCTCAAAAGTGAATGCAGTGTTAAGTTACTCTTTAAATAGATTGACTTTTAAATCTTTTTGGAAGAACTCTGGGACTGCAGAACTGCCATTTTGTTACAGTCAGATACGCACCTCTTTTCCATGGCAACTGCAGCTGGGGCTCATGGGTATTATAATATTTTGAGCCATCAGTCAAGTCAAAATGACAAAAACATAATTTCTCAAAAACAAAGATGAAATAACACAAATTTTGTTGGATCTGTGCCTCATCCAGCAGAGTGCTGTGTCTCTGTGTCAGGTGACATTAAGGATACTGTTGAAAGGAAAAAGCTGAAATGAAAATAAAGAATGGGGCAAAAACTCTCCTGGCACCAGTGACCCCTCCCACCGCGTAGCTCTTCATTAACATGTTACCTGTGTATTCTGGTGAGCACATGCACGTGTAGTTGTTGATTCCATCAACGCAGGTGGAGTTGTTCTCACAGTCGTTATCTTCACAGTCATCAATGTTGATCTCGCACGCGTCGCCTTCGAAGCCCTCTGGACACACGCACCTGTGAATACGCAGTGGCAGACACACACACACACACACACAAATGAGCAGGGCAATATATCGTACAGAACACTGTCAACAGAAATCTTTGGGACCTATTGATGACAGACGCTCAAACACAGGCTATCCAGCTCATAACAGCAGTGTCAGCTCCGTCTTCATATCCCCAGTAGAGAGTCATTATTCTGTTAACGTGAGCGAGCCTCAGCTCTGTGAGTACCACTCAGGTTTATTACTGCGCACACACACACACACACACACACACATGCGTATACATACAGAGAGGTATATTATGGGTTTAATAAAAAGCTCTTATGCAGCATACACTAGAGCAGATTAATAGCTCATTATATAGTCAACGGCAGCTCTTCACAATGAATATTCACCCCCTACAGCCTTGAAAAAAGCACACACAGATGGAACTACAGACTGAAATGACAAAGTAACAGCAGAGACAGAAGAGGGCAAGGAAAGGGATGGAGAGAGAGACAGACAGGATGAGCTGTGATCTTAGCTTCTCAAATTGAATGTGTGGGTTGTTAAATCTTCTTGGAGTGAGTAGACGGGCATTAGCTCCCCTCCTGCTAATACTAAACAGCCCCATGAAGATAAGACAATTCTCACAGCAGGGAGGTCCAGCTCAGAGGCCGACTGAGGCCACAGCTGGTCTCCCGAGCTATTTATTTCCTGTAAATTCATTCCCACCTGATATTAGTGGCGCAGCATCCCTGATTGAATTACCTGCTATGTCTGCTGCTGTGTTCTCAATGATCACTGGTTCACTGGTTTAATGATTTCTGTTGTTTGATATCTTGTGTTTTGCATGCTTCACCATATCACTCTCTTTTTTAAAAATGGCTTTGTGGGTGTGTACACTGTATTATTTATTTGCAGGTAAGAAAGTATTTTTATTTTTGTAGCTGTGGTATCCAGTTCCTCCAGTTATGACATGATCTCACCAGCTTGGTTGCCAAGATCTGAAAATGCTGCACTTTAAAAAAAAGTTTTTATCTTAAACATTATTTTGAATGTAGAATAAAAGTGAGTGAGTTCCTGGGTCTGTTTTAACCTCCCCACTCTGCAGCCATTTCCCATGCAGTGGTCAAAACAGAGATTTTGAGTGTTGCATTACACTTCCATTAAGTTGGGAATCTCACAATAAACAGGATAATAATAAAAACTAACCAGGCTGTAAAAGTTTTATTTAAATAGTCTCTCACCAAAAGTTGCTCCCCTCTCCTTCCTTCAGGTGGCAAGTTCCACCATTATGGCATGGGTTACTGATGCAGGCGTGAATGGGCTCCTCACAGTTCTGGCCCTGTGTGCACACACAAACCCACACATGCTCAGTGCTTTCAACGAACAACAGCTTCCTATAATTGTCATCTATTTACATTTATTGTTTAAAAATAGTTTGAACACAACCCATTTGCTTTCCACAGTATGTGTACCTTAAATCCATAGGGGCAAGTGCAGCGGTAGTAGTGCACAGGGTCATTGGAGCAGGTGCCGTCGTTCTTGCAGGGGCTTGACAGACAGGGCTCACACTTAGCCTGAACACTCACATCCACTGGGCCTGTGTGATGCAGACACACCAACCCACGTACACAAACAACACATAACATATCATGTTCTGCATTTAGGGGAATAACACACAGGTTTACCAACATGTAAACAGCTGTACGTGATCAGGGACCTGCATAAACACTGAACCTTCAAAAAACAACTTTTTTCGGCAGGAGATAAAGATTCCCCTGCCTGCTATGTCATTTTTGACATTTCAATCAGAATTTTAAAATATTGTAGATCAGACAATATTAGATATATGTTGGGAAATTACATCTTGATTAATAAATGGTTGATAAGTGAAAAAACAATACGTATCTCTTCCATACTATTAGGTAAGACAAGGTTTTGTGGAGGTTAGATCCAAGAGTTGCACACATGTGTTACTGGGTTATAAATGAGAAAGATGACAGATTTTATTTGCAGGACCATGTCATGTACAGAAGACACATATATTCCCAATTGTTTTGATGACAGAACATCAGCATCTAACAGCTGGGACACAAACCACTGGTCAGAGCATGAGGGCTGAAAGGGAAGCAGGGTCCAAAAGACAAGAAAACTGGGCTGGGACTGTCTCAAGGAGCTGGGGGAAGGGGAGACTGAGGAGTAAGTACTGTGATATGATTGACTGCTTTACCTGGCACCAGAAAACCACAAGGCCCCGGGACTTCTACAGTGCGTCAGTTAGATTAGGTTAAAAACAGGGTTTCAGTTATGTATTTATAGTTAATGTAATATAACATGGTTTAAAGATCAGCAATCAGTAGAACTTTGTCACATGACGAGTTGCAGCCAAAATCACAATGCTCATAAGCCAGTTTTTGGATCTTAGGGTAATATAAATTTAAATATCAGCATATATGCTGCTGTCCAGCGTATGCACCTCTATGTTCTGCTACTTCAGATAAACTTTTTTTAGAGAAGTATACTATTTCTTAAGCAAAGAAAACCTTGTAAAACAGCACTGAATTATTGAAAAATTCACCAGTACAAATGTTAAAACAAAGGGTGTTTTTCTTTTCATAATCATCTTACACACATGCATGTCTCTGCATGTGCATATCTGCTGGCATGTGCTCCTGTATTACTGCAGTACTGTATGTGTGTTACTGTTTTTCTTTACCTGTGCAGGTAAACTTCTTGGAAGGCGTGGTGAGCAGCAGTTTGTCAGTCATGTCGCCCCTTTGTACCCCCTTTTTCCCCGGCCTGCCAGCCACTGCATGTGGCAGTCACAGTACAGAGGGTTGGCACCCAGAGCCCTGCCAGCCGGTGACAGAGAGAGTGACAACAACGTTCAGTCATAATCTCAGGGAACACAGGAAAAGTCAGCGCTTTAACCTCAGGGACACAGTTTCATTTCAAAACCAATGTACAGTACCAGGGTACAGAGCTAAATAAGCTAATGGGATACAGACAGTCTCCCACTGGTATTCCCCCAGCAGGAAACTCAACGTATTAGCATCGTCCTCCACTTCTGTACTTAGTTACTTTCCACCACTGTTACTTATCTGACTTTTATATAAAGGCTTCAAGACATTTTATTCACTTTATTACTGTGTTCACCACCCACGCGTGGGAGTGCTGAGCTGTAAAAGCCCTTCTACAGAAATGTCAGTTTAGCAGATTTTCATTATTTATTAAAGAAAGTAGCTACAAAAACTATTTTGCTGTTGTGGCCACAAAGAGGAAGAAGAGGAAAAAGATTTTCTCAGAGGAAAAGTTGCTCAGAGGAAGAAGATACTCACTATATTTACCACCTTTTGATTTCAATGTTAAATATTTTTATCAGCTGCCAATATTCTAAAAAAAGCAATAGGTATTCTTCGGATACAGGTGTAAACTTTTAACTGCTCTAAATCTAATTTCAGTAAATCGAGGGCAGGAGAAACGAAATGACTGTAGATTGGTTTGTTACTCAACTACTGTTTTAGTTTAAGCCTCACTGAACAGGCTTTTACCTTCTGGATGATGAGAAAAGGCTCTTTTGTTCTCTTTATTTTGCAGTTGTGGACTCTTCAATCACAGAGAAAGACATGAACAGTGATGTGCTACTTACAGGTGGGAAAGTGATGACAGATCTTTGAAGGCTCCCTCTGGTATCAGTGATATGTCGTTACCATGGAGAGAGCTACAACAGAATGAGGGCAAGAGGAAGAAAGAGAAGAAAGGCAGAAATGTAGAAAAAAGTCTGGATTGTGTCTTTAGCACCAGTCTAAGACTGACTGTGTGTACAGTGTTTCTCAGTGTCGGACAGATACTCACAGCAAACGCAAAGACTTGAGTCCATCGAACGCCCTCGCTGGTATGCACCGCAGGCGGTTGTAGCTCAGGATTCTTTAGATACGAAATAAACATGTTGGCATGGATACAAATGCATACATTTTTACAGTATCTTCAAATACGAGCAGGAATTTCAGAGCACAGCTCTGTTTATGACCACTGTCCACTGAGCAAAGTGGTCGAGCAAACAGACACACAGCTTAACACACTTGTCGGCACAGACGCATCTGTCCCGTTGGAAATGTATACATGCATAAGCATATATGCGTGTAACAAGCACAAATATAAACAAACTGCACTCAAAGTGGACAATTTTCACTGTTTTGATCAGATTTTTCTGAAAATTTAGGCAGTTTTATTTACAGAAAGATAACCTTTGCACAGTACATCAGTGTGCATTCTACCGTTAAGTCTGTTATTGAAGATGTGCTATTTTCCCCTCAGTCCCAAACCAGCCCATTCTTCCGTTCTCTGACTGTTTAATGATATTTTTTTACTTAATTTATTATTAGGTGTTGTTTGTATGAATTCAACTTTTACTTGTAAATATTTTCAGCTGCTCCAGGCTCCTTGCTCTGTAGCTGTAAAAGCAGCTAACAGTGCTCTAATGGGCTCCTGTGAGTCATCATGTGACAATATTCATGTGTGATTACTTTAACAATTCAACAACAACATCCTTTCATTTTATCAAAGGCATCATCTTCTTGTGCATTTCTGGGCTATATGCATTCATTAATACGCACATAAACAGACATTGCAAAGGGACTGAGGTAAAGCCAGACTCACAGGGTAAGCAGTTCGGACATGTTACTGAGGCTGTGGTTGGACAACGTGCTGATCTGGTTGTTACTCAAATCACTGAAAAGGAAACAATAACAGATACATAAAACACACCCAACACATGCATAAACAAATGCACATACACAAACAGATTATGCAGCATATAATAGAGGAGCCTGCGCTTCTTTACGCTGCTGTACTGGACTTGTTAACTTCAACATCAAGGCCAAACCAGGTGACATCAAAAGTGATACAACAAGGAGCTCTGATGAAATATCAATCAGTTAGTTTTGGTCTTTAGTGCAATGAACACACAGGCCAAGTCACAAAGGGTGTGGAAGTGTACATTTGAGTGTGGAAAACTCTGGCCCTGTGATTTGTGAATTCATGTCTGAGTGTATGTGTGTAATATCTGCTTGTTGAGGTCATGTACAGTAGGTGAGACTTACATGAGTGTTAAGTGTTTGTAATTGGAGAGCTCCGCGGGAACCTGAGTGAAGTGGTTACCATCCAGATACCTGAGAGCACACAGCGAGAGATGGTTTGGAGACAAAAGAGAAGGGAAGAAAAACAAGTGGGGAAAATGTAAGAGAGACAATTAAGTTATTTAACCATGTGGGAAAGTTCCTGATCTCCGCTAGTGTGAGAACTCATTACTGCTATAGCCATGATACACACTGGAGTTTAATATCCCCACATGAATCCTAATACAGCATATCCACCCTTACTCTCTTTCACACACACACACACACACACACACACACACACACACACACACACACACACACACACATGCACGACTAAGATCCTATCTCCTTCACTGTGTCACAGTGTGCTATTAATCCCATGTATTAATTAAGTCTTTGGTAATATTAGAAGAAGCATGTCCCCCACAAGAGAAGCAGAGAAATTGTACAAAATCCTACCAAGCCTTTTGCCTAAAGTTTAATTAAGGGCTATAATTTTTCTTCAGGGGTTTTCTGTCAAAGATTGAATGTATGTGCGTGTGTGTGCCTTTGTATTACTTACATTATGGGGATCGAAACCTGTTAACACACTCATATTTTGGGGACTCGGCCAAAATCACTGAGTTTTAGGCTGGCAACATGGTTTAATGTTAGGGTGAGTTTAGGTTAAGTGTTAGGGTCAGGGCAAGGCATTAGGCAAGTAGTGGTTATGGTTAAGCTTAGGATAAGCCTACAGGAAATGAATGTATGTCAATGTAAAGTCCCCACAAGGAATGAAAACACAGCATGTGTGTGTGTTCAGGTGAGTTTCTGGAATAAAATTCTCTGCAGGCTCACAGTATATGCACCCGTGTCTCTGTGAGCCTGTGTGCTAATGTGTGCTTTTTCACATGTAGTCTGACCAACTCCACTAAGTTAAAATATAGATTCAAATGCTTTAGTTTTCTAAGACCAACTGATGCTAAGGTGGGAGCAACTCTATGTAAACTAGACCCAAATTCACACCAGACAAAATTTCAGCGCTTTATAAGCACTACTGAGGTGTCCACCCTTTCAATTCACACAGACTCTGACTTGGGTAGTTGTATTTTGTTGTGTAATTTTTCTAGTTACAGAAAAACAGATATAATAGTGACTCCAAAAACCTGGAACTCAATGACAAAATGACAAAATGTGTCATCTGAGGTACAGTAAACTGTCATGCAAAAGATGAAACTTCTGCGACTGTTGAACCAGCTAGTGTACAGTGTTAAAAGGTGTGCTGGTCTTCAACTCACAGTTCAGTGGTCTCTTTGGCCAGGCCTTTGGGCAGCACGGTGAGACCCTTGTTGCTGCAGCGCACCACAGTGTCCAGGCAGGAACACTCTGCTGGACACCTCAGCACAGGAGAGCAGCTATTCTCACTGTTACCTGATTGGGACAATTGAACAGGTAGAGGGAGAGGTCAAAAGAAGAGGGAGGATGATAGAACAAAAATCTGTCAGGGCTTCAGATGTTGCAGAATCTCACCATCTTCACAAGCAAAATCCTGGACAGCTACATCCTGGATGGGGATCTCCTTCAGGAAGTACGGATTCTGGCAGCGAGGGTTACCGGTGACGATGCGTTTTCTCCTCAGCCAATCGCCGAGCCAGGCCAGGTGACAGTTGCAGTTGAAGGGATTGGCCAGAAGGTTCCTGGAGAACAAAGAGAAAGACTTGAAAGTGCTCAGAGGCTTTTGTTTAAACATTCATATTTCTGTAAATATGTATGAGTGCGTCATATTTCTTTGCACTCACAGGGTGGACAGGGAGTGCAGTGTGTCGAAGGCTCCGGGGTTCATCGACGTAATCTGGTTGTCGTAGAGCGACAGGAGACGCACCGAACTCAACCCCACAAAGCTATTGTTACTCACACAGCTGATATGGTTACTCCTCAGCATACTACTCACACACAGACACAAGTGATTCAATACACAGTGTATTTTGGAGAAAAAACTGTCAAAAATATTCTATTTGTGATAATATAAACCAGCGATTATGCATGCTCCCATGTTTTACTTGTGTGTGTTGACATTGTCATAGCATGTGAGAGCATAATGGCTGTTATGCACACTTGATAGGATAACGTGATTGCATATGCATGTACATGTGTACCCACAGTGTGCGGAGGCCATTCAGTCCCTTCAGCATACGGTGGTGTATGTTCTCTAGTCTGTTGGAGGTCAGAATCAGTTCATTGACCCCTGAGGCTCCTTCAAATGTCCCCTCCTCTATGTCAGTGATACGGTTATTACTCAGGTTACTGCAGGGAATAGGACACAGGAGCGGGAAAGGTAAGACGACAATAAGAATGAAAACAGGGAGAACAAGAGAGAAGAAATATGAAAAGAGAACAAGAGGAGGACAAAACCACCAGGAGGAAAATCAGCAAAGATAGAATGAAGAGTAAAAGGGGGGTAAGGTATACAGAGAGAAAGACACATGGTTCATTTTGATTTCTGTGTCAACATGTACAATCGCAATATTCTCCGTGTAACCTGAATATGACTTCCTCACTTCAATGTGCGATTCTTTATTTGCATTATGTGTATGAGAAATCTGACTCACATCTTCCTCAGCTGAGGCAACTTTTTGAAGATTCCAGTCGCCTCGAGCACAGTGAATTCATTGTTGTTCAGACGTCTGAGAGTGCAAAAGAGAAGACAAAGACAGAGCACCAGAGAAGAGACACAGAGGTGGTAGAGATGAAAGGCAGTGTTTTCTCCATACCACACACAGATACACTTTGTACTACACAGTGTAGTGACTCACATTTCAGCAGTGTATTGAGGAATGTGATCTGGTATTTTGGTGAGTTTCTGGTTGGAGCAGTCAACTGTGGTGCCCTCACAGCGGCACTTCTCGGGGCAGGCCAAGTCAGCGAAGCAGTCCCCTCCTAGCTTGCTGCGGTAGTCCTCAGTACCTGTCACAATCACAGCCACAGCATCACAGAACGCTCACTCCAAACCCCAGAGTTTCCTGGTACCTGTTAGAACAAAAACACTGCAGGCGGCCAAAGTGAGGGCCATGATACAACAGAAGAATTTTGAGACACTTCAGAGAAGCTGTACTGCAGTTATTTGAAGTGGAAATGAACCAAACATGCTCAAAAACCATAGCTTGATTATGCTCATATGCAACATTCCCCCTTGAGCATTACTTCAAAATGCTGCATGTGTATTAAGGCCTTAAAGGATCCAAGTCCACAAGACATACAAACTGTCAAGGTTATGACATGTATACAGGCACACACACCCACACAAAAATAAACACAGAGGAATTTCAGTCCTGTCAGACTACAAAGCAACTGTTAGTGTTAAAAATGACAGCACAAACAAAACACAATCAGAAATGAAATCATAGCAGAAAAATGCTTATGCACACACAGCCAGTCATTTGTCACTCACAAACACACACATCCACAATGGTTGCAAGGAGTGACAGGAGATTGCTGTAGGGTTTTGCATGGCCGTTCCATGGTGCTTGACAGAACCATGTTCCACTATAGGAACCTGGCAGCCACATGGTTAGATCAAGCACAAAGGAACAACCTGCTGACTGACTGCTCCTCCGCTGGAACACAAGGATGGGAAATACAGAGGGAGAAGTGGAGAGGAGGAGGACAAGAGGAGAGGAGGGGAGGAGAGGACAGGAGAGAGGAGAAGGAGAGTAAAGGATAAGAATGAGAGGGATGGAGAGGTGTAGGAGAGGAGAGGATAGGAAAAGGAAACAGGAAAGAGGAGGGGAAGATGAAGTGAAGCAAAGCTAAGGATAAGAATAGGGAGAAATGTAGATAACAAGATTTGAAGAAAGATGGTAAGATGAAGGATGAGATGCAGGAGGAAAACAGACCCAGCTGCCTTGAGAAAATGTATCACCTGGAACGAAGAAAGGGGGAATGGAGAAGAAGATGATATGATCAGATCAGACAGGTGAGAAAAGTATAATAAAGTGGTCAAGGAAAGGCAGAGAAAGAGGGGGGAAGGAGAGACTGGGACATCTAAAGATATCTAAATTCACAGACATAACACAGGACAGCAGGAACAGTGGAGGAGAGTTACAGCAGCACTAAAGGCAACAGAAGCCCTGACTTCTAGGAACACAAACACAACCATACACCAACACACAACGTCACACACCGATACAGAAATCAGGAGAGAAATATACGAACCACTGTGTGCTAAAGTGCAACATGTATAAATATTCTCAGCACTGCTATATGTAAACAGACAAAAGGAATCACAGAGGGGGTCAAAGGTCACTGTGGTGGAGGTCAAAAGTCAGAGGCCAGCTCGGGGACGAGGGATGGAGGGGCTCGGAGCTGACTGAGAATCAGGTGTGTCTGCGTGTGTGTATGTGTTACTTACAGCCGACATGGTGTACTCCTGAGTGTGTGAGAGAGGCAGTAGGAGAAAGAAGAAGGGATTTCACTAGTTTATTTAAACAGGAGGGAAAGAAGCTGATGAAAAACTGAGAAAAAGATGCAACCTTTTTGTGTTCAGCCCCCAGGCAGTGATTCATTTGAAGGGGTAATGACTCGTGAATAGTGAGAATTGTGCTGGCATAACATGACATAGGTTGGGCGCTTTTATCTATCGCACATCCCAGACTTGTTTGCCTGAAGCGTGTCTGACTCTATCATGTCTTGGCGGGGATCATGACATGACAAAAAGCACACACAGTCAGATAAAAGTGCCATGCTAATGAGCAATTTAAAAAAAGCCAAGTACATTGTTTTGTTATGTGCATATTTTGACATCCATCACTTCAGCAGATTTAGTCTTCACAAGACTAAAACAAGATCTGGTTGGAGGGATACAACTGGAATTAATGCACACAGGAGTTTTTCTTCAAACACGTATAAGGGGGTCAGAATAACACACTGTGAAGAAATGATGCAAATTAAACTAGAAGATTTCAGATGTATTGATCAAAGGCACGATGCCAAGACTGTACCACAGAATAAAACACGTCTATTCAACTTTTTTTTTAACTGCAAATGTTCTTAAATTATTCAGCTTTGCCCCATATGTGGTATGTGGGCTTTGAAACCTCTGTCCCCTGGTGAGCTTCAGAGTTAATGACTGTAGTGAGCAAGCGGACACATACATACGCACACATGCTTCCATCCAAAACACACCATGTCTCCTATGTGTGCTGCTGTGGTAATGACCGCCTTTAGCCCTGCTACTGATCTCATATGCATGTCTGATTTACATATTTCCCAGCACCCCTCTGAGCATGGTAACTGTGTGACCTTTTGATGTTCTGCAGTGGGCGACACGAACACAGACGCTCACATATTAACTATCATGAGATGTGCTAAGAGGCGAGGAGGACTAGTATTGAATATAGTCTCTGTGATTGTTGTACCAGTATAGTTTTCCTATATACAGAGCCTCGCACACAGTCCCCAGCTGGCAGCAATCTGAGCTTAATACTCCAACTGTTTCTTTTCTCACTATCATCAAGGTTACAGCTACCACTGAAAATCTGGTGCAAGGACAAGACTGTGATTATCTGTTGCCTGGTTCGACGTGATGTGTTATGATGTATATTAGGCCATTAAAAGAAAATGTCTTGGCATTCAGAAGGTGTCAGTCAAGGCAAGTCACTTTAGGTGTTGAGTGTGCAGCGTCCATGCACCAAGTGTGGCCAGTGTTTTACACACAAACATGACTGATGTACAATACCTGGGATGTAATACTGCTCTATAGCTAATGGAGAGACAGAAAGGGAGAAAGTGAACAACAGCAAAAGAATAAAAAGACTAGAATAAGAAAGCACTCACAGGCTATGTGTGTGTGTGGGAAGAACCATGGATTTATGAAAGATACTGGATACTGGACTTGTGCATGAGCAAAAAAAGAAAAAGTGTTCTAGCTTCCTCACTGCGGTGCCCACTGCACACGTGCATTAGTGTTTGGTGAGCCCTAACCCGTAGAATGGGGAAAAAATGGAAACAAGGCTGATGGGCAGCACTGTATCCAGCTCTCTTAATACATCCATGGGAAAACCTGACAAGAGGCGCCATAAAATCATGAAAACAGTGAAATAAGGTTAGTAATAAGAGGCCGAGGAAAATCCCAGCAGGAAGACACAGACTGAGAACACAGGATAGGACAGTTTGTCTTTACCTAATATCATGTGTGAATCATCAGAATCAGTAAAGTCTTGTGGACATCTATATTGGCTACATTTAAGTGAGCTACTGCATAATATGAACTGTATATACAATGGCATGTGTGTGTGTACCTGAACAGCGGAACTTCTTGCTCTTGATTTGTCCGATTCGTTTGTTGGCGAGCCGTCGGGGGCTGGTGCAGCGGGCGCCACTTGTCTCGATGGGATTGTCTTGCAGGTAGTCTGCCAGCCACTTCAGATGGCAGTCACAGATAAATGGGTTTTGGGCTAAGTGACTGATACACCCACACACGCAGCACAAAAACATACGCACACACATGGCATAAGCTGTGAGAACAATATATAGTTGTGAAAATGTTCTGTTTCTTGAGTGTGAAGCCACAGAAAATACTTTGTGATTAGTTGGCAGGTGTGTCAAAAAAAATCATGTGTCAGGCCACATCAAACATTTATTTTATAACGGTAGTTAAGATGCTTGCAGTACTTTACAAAACTTTATATAGACGAAAAAAACTTTACCTGTAAATCTAAAAGACATTCTCTTCTACTTTAATGACATTACAAACAATGAAATACACTGCATGTGTCTTTTAGCCTAGTGGGGCAATATTTTATTCAGACAGAGGCTCTTGAACATGATGAAATTAGGAGGCTATACACACTATGTTCCTTTTCAGTGATGTGTACCATGGAACACTGGTACAGAATGGCGGAGTTAACAAGAAGTAATAAATTGTCAAAGCAGATGACAAAGCCTGCTGTTTACTATAAAAATGAAGATGTGTTTTTTTCCTAAGTGCTATTCTGAAAATATATGTGATTTTTGTTTACGTTTCCAGTTGTCAAGTTATAACAATTGCGAGCTACCATACAAAGTTTCACACCTTGTGTGTGTACACTGGGCCTGTTTGTGTGTGTGTGTGTGTGTGTGTGAACGTACAGTGTTTGTATAGCTCTTAGTGATGAGAAGGTTCCCTTGGCGATTGTCTGAAGCTTGTTGTCATATAGTGAGAGTAGATTGAGGTTGTGGAGGTCCTGAAATGCATCCACGCGTAGACATGCTATCTTATTAGCGTTCAGTAACCTGAAAGAAAGCAGTAATAGAGAGAGAGAGAGAGAGGAAGAGGGAGAGAGATGAAGGTTTATCTTGTTATCATTCTTGGATGAGTGTTTCAAACGTTACAGGTCAGTGAATGATGGCATTCAGTCATAATGTCTCCTCTCTGGTGACAATATTTTAGCTAAGCACTTTTCGGCAGAATATCAATGAGCTGCAGATGAGAGCAACTAACTTTGTGTGTGTGTGTTTGTGTACTCACAATAGCTGCAGAGAAAACAGTCCCTCAAAGAGTCCTTTGGAAATCTCAGTGATCTTGTTTCCATATAGCACCCTGTGCAAAACAAACACCATATTGTTGTTGAGAGAGCCCACACATATGATGCAGCTGTATTGTCAATATTAACACTCAGCATACACCAGAGCCAAACCCTATCCTCACAACCCTGTAAAATGTTCCTGGGGATTATTGCCTAAGTTCTAAGCTAAATAAAAATCTACTACAGTACTACATGAGCTCAAGTGAGCAAGTTTTATCTAAGATGAAATTAACATTTTATTAGTGCTCAACAAATGTGGCTCCTGTGAGTCTTGACAGGGTTCATGTCATATTGTAGCAGACTAATTACAAGCAGCCTGTGGGAAAGTTGTAAGTTATCAGTAGTGTCTGAGAGTAACAATATCTCTGCTCTACTTACAAAATGTAGACATGTCAAATCTGTGGGTAAATGGCTACAAAGGCTCCATCACCAGCAGTTACATCTAATTACACCCAATATTAACACTAATAAATATGATACAGCTAACAGAAAATATTATATGCTCTTTTCTGGTTTCACTTCCTGATGAACCCATTATGTTCTGAATATGTGTCACATAACAAAAGTGGTGAAAAAGTAGTCAAATACTTTATTTATAAATAGTCCACTACAAGTAAAAAGTCCTGCCAAGTATTATCAACCAAATGTGTTTAAAGTATCAACATTAAACATATTTATTATGCAAAATGACCAATGCTAGTACTATATTATACTACTGGATCAGTATTGATGTATTAATATGTAATTGGCACTTTAATGTTGATCAAGGGGAACTAACTACTTTCTATGCTGTTGGGAAGTTTAATCTATAATAATGCATCATATTTTATTTAATCATTTGATGGTTACGTAAAATCTTACCCTGAAAAGTAAGTGCTACAAGTAAGTAGTAATTAATGCAAAATAAAATATGTAAATAAATGTTTTTTTAAATATGTCAAATAAATGTTGCATAATGAAAAGTACATTTCCCTCTGAAACAAATTGTATTTAAATTCAACACTTGTCTAACTTATTTTCCACCTCTAATGTAATGAAAATGTCAAACATAGTCTAATTATGGGTGGAACTATCTTGGAACCAGTCTTGAACGCTTCCAGGTTGGCAAAATGCGAGGTTTCATAGATCGTCCAATTCTGTTGACATTACATGAACGCAGCTCAAAACTATGAGGCTGGGAATCTGGCTCTCTACTGAAGAGAGAGCACAAAAACATCCAGTGAATAAAAAAAAAAGAAAATAAGAGCTCAATCAGGAATGATAAGATCATCTTTTCCACACTACAAGCAAAAACACTGACTTTGTGCCAGCGCCTGGCTTTATGTCAACACCCATGTCAATAAAATATAATGAGTTATGAAGAGTTTTCATCTAAATGTCACAGTGAAAAAAAACCCACCATAAATCTGGCTGTGGCTACAGTGTGAAGAATGTACGCTGTTATCAGGGAAACACTTTTTATAAATACATTAGATTACATACACAAACAGATCAAGGCTGAGACTGCCACTGCCTTGCCCAACAAATACCTCAGATGCTCACACACATACACGCACACGTACACACGGAGCTATCAGTCATCTTTGCACTCCACGCTGAGTTGAGCTGTGTGCGTAGGCAGTCTAAACACATGTGTTTTAGACATGTGTTTGGCTTTTATTTCACTGTGCTGAGTGGCTGTCCCCGAGAGATGTGAGGTTGGGAAACACATGATGTAGGTATTGGACGCTTCGTTTACATCTCTCACACACATCAGCAAGTATTGCTCTGCACGGCAACACATATACGTACTCACACAAATGCACACACATACATAAAATATATAACCAGATATAATCAATAGCTTATTCACCTCCTTTCTAACCAATCTGACACACAGTGAGCACACAGTGCAACATAATATGAAAGCCATACTGTATGTGATGTGTCAGCATGAATGTGAGTGTCTCATTCTCTCTCTCTGGTAAATGTGTAATGAGGTGGCAGAAGCCTCCATTCAGCAATTCAGCATTTATGAATTATTGACTTTGGAGAGGCGAGACCTTAATATAACTCCTTCATGAAATAACTCCCTCACTCCCTCTTCTGCTCCGCTCTCCATCTCCAGTCCATAAGCTTCACATGCACAGAAGATGGTCCAACGTGAGATTCAGGCCCGAGTGGAAGCCGGCAACACCGCAGTTCTCCAAAAAAGCATGATGAATTGATCTGGCATTTGGCACATTTATTTTACTTATACTGCAAATGTGAGGCTACAATTAAAAGATTATTTTAGTTCTGATTTTTTTAAATTTCATAGATCTGGCCATTATTTTAGCCATAGAAATGAGATAAGAGGCCCAACAGGGAAGGAAACGCAGGCAGTCAGATGAGCAGACAGATTTTAACAAACCCTCTCCTTAGCCAGTAATTAGAACAAACAGTCGATTTGGGGTAAATTTTTCAAAAGTTACAAAAATGCAGAACAGAGCAGGTTTTAGCATCTGAGACTGGCGTTAATCCAGAAGCCGTGCTGAGCTGCTTCTGTGTCTGTGTGGTTGTGTTTCCACTGCACTGTAAAATGCATTATCTTCCACATCTTGACCGCGTGGGGGCGGTGCAAGCGTGTGGGGGTGATGATACTAGCTTGCAACATGGAGCCCTTGGTTCTTGTCTTAACCCCTCATCAGAAGACCAAGTGAAGGACTCCATTTTCAGATCTTGCTGCAATGAAGTAAGGGATATAAAGTGAATGTTGGTTAAGGACTTTCCTTCGGTGCAATGTTTCAGCCAATCGTGTCTTGATGAGCTGGTCCTGTGGAAGGTGGAGCTCAGCCCCAGTTGGCCCTGGGCAGAAGCAGGGCCTGACTAAGTATGAATACCCACTGCTGTTAGAAACAGATGGAAATGGAGGCCAACCCATGCCCAGCTGGATTAGCTTGATTAAAGTGGGCTGACCTGTGTTGGTGGAAAAACACCACTCACCTTATGCAAACTCTTAGTCTTAGAAGTATAATGCTAGGTTACAACTGTATGTGATTAGTTAGAAGTAACAAGCTAAAACTACTAAAACAAAAAAGTACTGTATATTACTGCATGTCCAACAATAAATATGGTGAGTTTAACAGATTCTGAAACAGTCTGATATTCTGAGATTCAAAGGGTTGCATTGTAATGCTCTGTGTAAACTACATCTTCTATACAAACATATCACATGATACTCACAGAGAGTTGAGGGAGCGCAGACCTTGGAAGGCATCTGAGGCCAGCTCAGATATCTGGTTGTTACTCAAGTCTCTGTGAGGAGCATACCATAAAAAAAGGAAACAAGACACAGAGCATCATAGAACCACAGACAGAGTCAGTGATAGAGAAACAGATAGTGAAACACAAAGGTCAACATAAGCCACAAACAGAACAGGAACAGAAGTTACTGTGGATGGTTGACATCAAAGGTCATCAGGGTGCACAACAAATATATCTCCTTCATCTACTCACATCCTACGCAGCTTCTTATAAGGAGAAAAGGCCCCAGCTGGGATCACCTTGATGGCGTTCTGCTCCAGTCGTCTGGAACCAAACATACACAGGCCATTGAGGAGCAACATTAACATTCCCTTATCACAGAGCTATCTCTGCTGTATCACTGACTGCTGCTCATTTACGGGGGCTCTGGCTAAAGGGAAAGTTTCCAGATAAGACGCTTTGATGACCTGTGCCAAAGTCTGGCGACATTACTCTGATATTTTGCCCTCTCCAACATGTGTACAGTCAGACAGTGGGAGGGGGAAAACAAAAGAGAAAGACAGAACTAAACAACGTCTCTCTAAACATTTCACATGTTCAGTCACTGTGACAAGAAAGGAGGCGGAACATGATCTGCAAACCAACCATTTAATTGGGAAACATTTCCCTTAAAGGAATTTGTTTTTAATTTGCTGTGCTCAATGTTAATGTTCCACTCCTCTTCCATACTAAAATGTTTCACCGGACACCCAGGAGCTGTATTGTATTGCATTGTATTATGGTTTAAAAATTTCCAGGTCAGGTCAAGTCTTGTCAGAGTCTCAAGGCAATCGACATTTGTCCATGTCAGGTACCAAATCAATTCAGACAAGTCATGCCAAGTCTTAAATCAGTTGAGAGACGTCCACATCTCGACAAAGAATGTCTTTAGTCAAGTCTCAAGTCAGTCAAGACAGGTCCACACCAAAGCTCAAGTCTTGTCAAAGCAGGTCTCAAGTTAAGTCTGAAGTTCATTGATGCAAATGGACGCAAAACTTTAACATTTCCCATTTGAAGCTTTGTTGAACAGTTTCCTTTCAATGGTTAGTCCTAGACTTTAAATAGTCACCACATGTGATTATGGTAGACCTGCTTTACGCTATGGAATTTTAAAAGACCAGAACTCAAGTCAACTCTAAGAACAGAGCATGTCTCGAGTCATATATGACTTAAGTCTGCCTCAAGTTCAGGTCTAAAGTCTCTACCTCTGCTTTGTCACTTTAAATCTACAGACTCGGATCTGTCCTTGCTTCTTGATGCCCCCTTTTAGGTAGAGATACAATCTGTCTTGCCCTTCAGATTAATTTTTCAGTTCTTCCTCCCTCATCCCTTTATTTTCTTTATAAGCAGGGAAGAGCAGCGTGACCCGGCTTTCTCATTTCACAGATGTTTAGTTTTATTCCACTGCACAGAGAGAAAGAGAAGTAATGAAACAGAAAGGTGGAAGGAGACAAAGCAGGAAAACAGAGAGACGCACAGTGAAAGAGGAAAGAGAAAAATATCACTGCCCAAGTGTGCATGCAGGAGTTTGTGTGCAAGAGTGCATGTAAATGCATTTGGGTAAAGTGTGTGTGTGTGTGTGTGTGTGTGTGTGTGTTCCTTACATCTCAGTAATGGTTTCAGGCAGGTTGGTGGGTATTTCTGTAAGTCCCTTCCCTCTGCAGTCCACAATATTGTTACTGCAGGTGCAAGACTCTGGGCACTGTAACACACTGCAGGAGGAAGATGATGACTGGTGACCTACACAGAGACAGGGGGCCAGAGTTATCCATGAATAATAGGTTATGCTTGGTGTAAATCCCAAAGGCGAAGAAGAAGCTGAAAGAATTCAGTAAAGAACAGCAAAGTTTGAAACAGCAGCCAGTGCACAGCAAGTGTGCAGGTAAGAGACACTGACACTAAACAAGACCTTGTCTATATGCAGCATTACTTTGTACTCTTGCATTAGGTGCTCTTTTAAATAAAATATTTTAGAAAAAAAAGAACCAGTCCATATTCCAGTAAATTCAGTGTGTGAAACTGAAGCAAAGTCAAGTAATAGAAGATGACTACTTGCCTTCATCACCATCTTGAAAAGCATGTACAAAAGACAGTAAGAAAAAGCAAAAGAAAAAAAAGCAAGAAAATAGTTTGCCATCGTAAAACAGCAAGTGGACATAAGTCACAAAAAACACAACAAAGCTAACACACATCACACCTTTGTGCCTCTCAACCTACCTGTGCAGATAAACTCCTTCTTCTGCACCTCAGCCACGTTGTGCCCCCTCAAGTGCGGAGGGGCCAAGCACTGAGTGTAAAGACCCAGACGGGGGCGCTGTCGCAACCACTCTGACAGCCAGGCCACGTGACAGTCACACTGCAGGTTGTTGGAGTGCAGGCGACTGAGGGAGAGAGGAGGCAGGAGGAGAGGAGAAGAGGAGGAAAAGCATGAAGAGGGAGCGAGGAGCATGTGGCAAGAAAGGGGGGGATCAGACAAGTAGCAAGAACAGGTGGGGGGGAGGAGGAATGACAGGAGCAGGGTGGGTTGAGCAGGGAGAGGTGCAAGTACAGATTAATCAATCAGTTGCCCAGAGAGGAATTCTCCCCCTCAGGACAGTAATGTGTACTGAATGCTACTTACAAGGTCCGGAGCTTCGGCATGTGGTTGAAACTGGCCACGGACAGTCGGGAGATGTTGTTGTTGTTGAGGGTTCTGAGGGGAGAGTGAAAAACACAATGCCATATAAATTCACTGAACTGTGCAGGAACAAGTAGGAGCAGCTTGGTCAGCAAAGCAGGGTACAGACCTGCTGCATGTAATCAGTGTAATTTTTAACCAAAACTGTCATTTCATGTTAATTTTTTAAAGCTAGAATCTTGTTTGTCCCCTACAGTACTTGTTAACTGAGTCTCATTTGATTAAAACCAGCTGAGCCTGCAGCTTGTTGTTTTCAGACAGGGCTTTAAAATGTGATGCCTTTACGCCTTAGTGACAGTTCACTAAGGCAACTGATGAAGTTACACAGTTAACATTTGGTATGTTGGCATAAATAGGACTGAAAATTTTTGGTAACCTACCAAAAATGAGCATTTCTGAATCCTTTATAAAACAATAAAAAAACACTTATTTATTTAAGGAAACAAGATTTTGTGCATTTGATGGCAGGTCTCTGTGAAAGTCACAAATGTAGGTTAGAGTTGACCTGTGTATGCACTCTGTGTTAGCTGCAGATTTGAATTGTGAAATGTAAATAGCAGCTCCATGTAAAATAATTATTGACTTTGAAATCAAAGCAATATGCATGGGCCTCCCATCACACTGAAAATGAATATCTGTCAAAAACATCAACAAGCTTGTCAGCAGAGCGGGGGGGTTGTTCAGTGGCACTAATGACACGGTGACCTTGTTAATGAATTACACAGTGACAGTAAAGCCACAGAACCAGGCATTAAGTGTCATTCCTTATTCAAACCTGCACAGGCAATGCAGTCTTTCAAAGGTCGACAAGGATATTAACTGTTCCTTATCCTGCTGGTGTTAGTGTTCATCATTCACCGGTCCTCTGCTGTTCCTACCAGAGTGACTGAACAAACAGGTACTCACAGTACTTCCAGGTCACGTAAAGCTCGGAAAGCTCCATCTTCAATACAGTTGATGTGGTTGTAGTCCAACTGGCTGCACACACACACACACACACACACACACACACAAAAGAAAGAAAAAGGGAAGCTCTAAAGATGTCTTACAACATATCTTCATGTGAAATTCAAGCCAGACAGCCAGCTACAGAAGAAGCTGCACCAACTCCCCTGGCCAAAGTCATCACCACTCACATTCTTTCTCTTCTACTTTACTTCTGTCTCCTGAGCTCTTTGTTCTTTGTAGATGCACTTCTCAACCTATTTATCTCTGTATCCATTCCCGCTTCCTGCTCTCTTCTATCTGACGTCTAATTTGTATGCGCTGCTCTTTACCTATTTCCCCTCTCTCTCGCTCCCTCTCTCTCTTTCACAGAATTGCTTTGCTGAAACTATTTAATTAAGACATAAGGACAGTAAATCATGTGCTGTCACTTGCATACTAATGCACACACTGACACACACAGGCATGCATGCTACCCTGCTCTTTTACAATAATTGCAAGGCATTTAAAAAATATCCGATGTGGGAAAAAAAAAACCCAGGACGCTGTGAAATTGTTGCAAAAATCCATATTTATAGAATTACTGCTGGGCAATTACTACCTACAAAATGACCAGCAATTATCTTCAATCATCATAACTATGACTGAGGCTAAACAAAATGGGAAAACAACACAAATGCCACTGATGTGACATCCACAGCACACATGCTCACACACACAGCTGCTAACAAGCAGTGGTGCCAGTCAATACAACAGGCAGGAGGCACATGACATTTAACACAATAAAATATTGATGCAAAGGCACATACTGTAGGGGTTGCACACATTTGTAACCACAGTGAAAAGCAAGTGACAGATGTGCATGCACACAGACACTCTCACACACAAAAAGTATAGCCAAATTTCCCACTTACAGGTTCTTGATCTCCACAGCTCCCCTGAAGGCTTTCCTTGGAACCCCCTGAATCTGGTTCTCACTGAGATCACTGGGCAGAGAGAAAGACATAGAGAAGAAGGGAGGGAGAAAAATAAAGTGTCAGAGAATTAAGCCAGGCTGTCACGGAGCCACTTGCTTTGCAGCACAAGTACTTGATGTAATCACCACAATGTAGCAGGGGAACTTTAGAGCCAGACAGATCATCTGAAAAATTGAGTGCCTTGCACACAGAGTGCTCCTTTGCCAAATATAATCAGCTGTCTCTATTCATCTCCCAGTGACACAAAAAACGCTTCCTCTGACAAGTGGCCACGTATCAAGAGCCAGACGCAATTCAATTGTCTGCTTTGAACATCCATCCAAGTCAGGTAAAAGAGGTTTTAAATGCTTAAATAACCTGTAGGGGGCACTAACGACATCTGCTTCCCTCAGAGCTTTCTGTTCCTCCTCTCATCACTCCCACTCATCTCTCCCTCTCCTTCGGACCCCCCCACCCCCACCCACACTTTCAAGGAGTGAGTGACGGATATGTGAGTATGAGCACTGGGGTTTACAGAGATTTCATTTTCAGCCACTTTAACTAAGCTTGGAATACAGCTAAAACAAAACACGCTAAATTTACTACAGCCACTGGCATGCAGTCATTATGTGGCAATCCATGTTTCTGCACACACACACACACACACACACACACACACAAGTACATAAATACAGTCACATACATGAACAGGTGCCTCACATAGTCTAAATACACCACCTGTAGCCAAGAGAAACACATGCTTGGCTGGCACTGGTTGGTATAGCAACTTGATTTAGAGAAGGACACACACACACACACACACACACACACACACGCACAGAGCTGTTGAAGGATGCACCTGAAATAGTTACATGAAATGAGGTGTTAAACACATTCACATACACACAGGCAAATATATATGTATAAAGTAATGTAAAGCAGAGATATGAGAATGCAATCCGCTATCTGGAAGATGCAGATGTGTTATGCAATACAAAATTAAAAAAATCAAGCTCATCATCCCAACATTTTAAATATCGAACATTTTAAACTTCACTATGCTGCTTGATAGTGTGTGTGTGTGTGTCATTTGCTGCCAATGCAGACCAAAGTTCCAGACAAACTAATTGACCTTTCACTGTTGACCTTCTAGCTCTTGACCCCGACTCAGCCACTGTGACCTCCTCCATGCTAATCGGCTAACAGCTAATGGCCAGCCACATTCCTCACATTCCCATGACTGTGATCATATATAATCAGTGCTGCCAGTATCGTGACAAGAATAAACAAGAATTACAAAGTGATGTGTTTACAAGACTGATAACCTTGAGTTGGTTTGTCCTTGTCCTCTGGGACTGTCTTCTGTAGCCTTTAAGTCCACCTCAAATTACAAAACTAACTAACAGTAAAAGTGCACGCCTCTGTATCCTCCAATCCAATGGGAAGGTGGGCTGGTGCATACTTTTAATTAGTAGATGAGACAGCAGGTGCACCAAAAATACAGGGAACTCTGTTAAATTTAGCTTATTAGCAAAGTTACAGACATTCTGCATCTATACTGACTGACCATGAAGAACATACAGTAGTACCTATAAAGCTTCTGAAACATTATATAAATGAAAGTACTTTTTCTCAAAAGAAATGTGCTATCTACTTTCTTATAGACAGGAGGGAGATATGGCTGGGAAGTTATATGCAGCAGTTCCCAGTCATCTCTTTTCACCCATGCATCAGCCTGAAAACTGGCTGTCAGTCTGTCAATTTCTTGTGATAAATCAATGAAATCTTGCAACTATAATAAAAACTACAATGCTCTGATGAAAGGATCAGCTGAAAGTCAATTGAAAGACAGTTTTGACTAAATTTAATATCAGTTCAGTTTCATACAATGTAGGCACACACAACCATACATGTGCACCTGTACATTCCAGCGCATGGCAATGTCACAGTGGGTTTCAGTGCTGTCTGATACGAAGAACCTGGATTGCGACTTTGTGGTAGATGAAAAAGAGGCTACACCTTTGCTGTTCTACACACACCTAATACAAACACATGTGTGTTTCTTCTCATCCATATGCACACACAGATACACACATGGAGCGGCTGGTCTGAGTCAAATAGACTGTATCCTGATACTGTTTTTACAGGGCCAGGGGGGTTTGGACAACAGCCATGCTGCTTTAACCGCTGGAACTCTAAAACCAAATAAATACACTGAAAGTGCTTTTTAACCCAACACACACACACACATGTTGTGTCCATAACTTCAGGGGACATAACATTGATTTACAATCATTTCCTGGAGGCCTCACCTAACCTTACAAATAAAAACAACTTGCCTAAACCCAACCTCACCCTAAACCTGAAATAAGTCATCACTCTAAAATGTTATGATTTACGTTTTGGAGACTTCCTTTTTGTCGCTGTAAGCACATCGAGTCCCTGCAAAGTGACTGTGTAAGCAGATTTACATCCCAACAACAAGAATAATACTAGATCACACACATATATTTGTCCATAGTGCATTCCATAGGGCCTGACCCTAACCTGAACATAACTCTAGCCCGAATCCCAAAACCAGATTTTTAACCCTCAACCAGCCCTTTGAAGGGATGTAAGACAGTGACAAGTGACTAACGTGTCCTCCAAAAATGCCCTCAGTACCATGGTATAAAACTCAAGCTGGTCCTCACAATGAATACCACACACACAGCTCCACCTCTCTCATTAGTGGTGCAGTGGGTAGAGCAGTCATCTCCCAAATGGAAAGTTGAAGGTTCGAATCTCAGTGCTTGCAGTCCATGTGTCGAAGTGTCCTTGGGCAAGACACTGACCCCCCCCCAATAAGTGTGCTGTATAAAGCTAATAAGTGTGTGTATAAACACATCCTGGCAAAGAATAGTTGATCATGGGCTGCTGGTTATTACAGTGAAGTGAGTGCAGAATAGTTGATCATGGGCTGCTGGTTACAGTGAAGTGAGTGTGCAGCTTAAAATGCAAACATACAAACTGTCAAGTTCTCACATGTGACACATTAAGATTTGACTGATTTCTACAGCATAAGCAGATATAATGGGAGCAGACTGTATAAGGGGAAGTTGCACCTATGCTCCATGTGTGTTTGACGTATACATTTATGTGCTTGAGCACTAAGATGATTAAAAATAGATTTTTTTTATGTCTCTCTGTCCCTGTGATCTACAGCAAGAAAGAGAGACAGCACAAACACATGCAAACATGCACACATGTACACAGACATACACGAGATTGGCAGTTTGGGTTAGTGTGGGGCTTTTAAGGAGGTGCCACTTGAAACCCCATTCATCACTCAGACCACCAGAGAGAGAGCAAGCGAGAGAGGAGGGGGTGAATAGTAAGTTTTACCCCAACTAGGAAATTGACTTCTTAGGGATTTAAGAGTGGATTTTCTTCCTCAGTTTGGTGCCAAAACACCTGATTCAGTTTCATCTTTAGTTAAATCATTTGGTGCATGTCCCGCCCACTGCTTTACCTCTCTTTCTCTTTCCTTCTGTGACCTTAACTCCCTGCACCTCTCCATTTTCATCCCTCTTTATGTGTCTTTTCCTCTTCTCCTAAATTGGTTTTGTTTTTGGACTTCCCAAGGATTTAACCCCTCACCTCTGCCCCTGCACCTAAACTGGGAGGCCACCCTTCATTAAAAGAGGCTCCCTGCTGAGCCCTGTGTGTGTACGTGTGTGTGTACGTGCGTGTTTTTTTCCTTGAAGGGGCCAGAGGTATTAAAGCCACATAGGAATATATCATGCTGCTAAGTTAGGAACCTTTTGAAAGAAGGCACATGAGCGCGCACACACACACAACCAGACAGACTGCTGGACATTGACAGCTGACCGCACACTTTAGGTAATTAGAAAAACAGACTTAAATCCGCTCACAATGTTATACACTGCTGATGATATATGGGAAATTGCTGTAGTTCTTTTATCAAAGCCAGATTCTTCACATTTTACTTCACAGTCAACCAGTCACACACACATACTGATGCATACCATGCAATGTTCTGACTTGACCAGTAGCAATTTGAGGTTTGGTGTCATGCTCAAAGACGTTTCAACATGTGGACTCTTACATACATCTCTACTAAATGTTCACAGCTGCAGTGACCGGCGCAGCATCAAAAGCAGCGTTAAACACACTATAGGTGATCACTGACAGCAGGAGAGGCCACAACAGAGGCGTAACCGGCAGAGACTCAACAGTCCCATGATGTTTCTGTCCCATTTCTATCAGATGCTACATGTCTGTGATGCACATTTTGTTGTTTGAAGAAGAAATGTACCTGTTAGGAGTTTCGCTGTGAACAGTATCATAGTGGATATAATCTTTCCCTCCTCTGACCGTCCTCATTTGTCTGTTTTTCTCACCTCTGGTGGCCCAGGATGTATGTGAGAGACAGAGTCAGGTCTTTAGTGTTAAGAGCTTAGTGCTGCTTTTCTAAAGAGTCTATTCAGACTGAGAGGGGCTTTTGACGCCCTGCGTGTCTAAGAAGACCTGGGCATGAAAGAGCAGCACTCAATTCTCACACATGCACCCCTCATCCTTCCCCTCCTCTGCGCTCTTTCCGTCTCACACTGGACACACACACACCCAGACTCTTTCTCTCACCTACTGTTATACAGTTTCTGAACATCTTTTGTACAAGGCCTACTGCCATAACATTCTTCCCAGATCCAGCAAACTGGGATGGGGAGGGGGGTCAGACTTGGCAGAGTAGTAAACTAATCATCTTGTTCAACTCCCTTTTGGAGACTTTAATCCTATTAAGTATATGAATGTGTGAACTGGCAAAGAAGGAGGTGGAAGGAGTCGAAAAGAAAAAAAAAGACAAAGTGGGGAAGAGATAGAAAAATGTGAATACAGAATGCTGGGTGTTTGTCAGGTTTCATAGCGGACAGTTGAGGACGGGATGGTCAGCGAAAAAGTGTGGGATTCAGTGTGTGCATGTGTGTGTATCCTTCAATCCCTCAGCTAATTCAAGGAGCAATGCCATG